TACCCCAGTTCTGTATGAATAAATAAATAAATCTTTAAAAAAAAAAAAAAGTTAGAGCCTCCCTGGTGGCTTCGTGGTTAAATCTCAGCACGACCACATAGGCCTGAGTTTGATCCCCGGCCAGCGAGTGACCCACACTGCACTCCTGTCTCCCTGCTGCTCCCCTCAGCAGTGGATTTCAGTAGATCTGCCTGTTCTGCTCCCCACTCTGTCTCTAGTGAATCTTCTCACCCACCGCCCCTCTGGCCTACACCCCAATTCTTCTATGCAAAGAGTCAAAAGTTAAAGGGAAAAAAACATGTCCATAGAAGAGAATGTTGCCCTCACCCAATCACAGGCTTTTCAGCAGAAACTTTTTAGGTCAGAAGGCACAATATATTCAAAGTGCGGAAAGGAGAATCTGCCTACAGAGAACAAGCTACCAGACAAAGCCATCCTTCGGAAGTGAAGGAGAACAAAGTGTTCTCCAGACAGATCAAAGTTACAGTTCATCGCCATTAGACAGAACATATTAAAGATGTCTTTAAGGGAAACAAAGGGGATAATTAGTATCAGGAAAATAAATCTCACTAGTAAAGATTAACAGTAAAATGTAGACTAAGCTAAAGTAAAGGTGATGGGTTAATCATATGCTTATAAGGGTTTCTACACAAATGGTAAAAATAGTAAAGAATAGATTAGCAGGCAGCACTGAAGGCTGGCTACAGCCACTTCAGTGCAATTTCAATCCCTACCCCAGAAGTAACACACATGGTGAGGCAGACCTCTCCTGACCCACCCACTGCTCCCCTCAGCAGTGTACTTTGTTAGTCTGCCTATTCTGCTCCCCACTCTGTCTCTGGTGAATCCTTTCACTGCCCCTGCACTCTGGCCTGTACCCCAGTTCTGTATGCATAAACAAATCTTTAAAAAAAAAAAAAAAAGTAATTTGTGAATGGATTCACAGGATTGAAAGATGTCAATTGGGGCATCGAAAACAAAAAATGGGGAGGGAGAATAAAAGCACAGAACTTTAGAATGCATTCAAACCCAGGCTACTATCAACTAGACAGATTATGATAGCTAAGCTGTCCTTGGAAGCAGCCTGGTAACCAAGCACCAAAAGCCTGTACAAGATACACAAAAAGGAACAGAAAAATCAGCTCACAAAGGAAGCAAGAGTGGAAAGAACAGGTAGAGAACAATGAACAAAATGGTAATAAGAATATACTTGTTAATGATTATATATACATAGGCCAAATTTCCAATCAAAAGACAGTGACTGACTGGATGCAAATAAGACCCATCTAAAGAGGCCACTACAAGAGGCTGACTGGAGCTGTAGGAACACAAAGTAAAATGGATAGAAAAAGAAAAATGGAAACAAAAAGATACCAGGATAGTTACATCAGACAAAATAGACTAAGATAAAGACTGGTAAGAGACAGAGACGTTGGTTACATAATGGTAAAATGATCAATTCAACAAGAGGAGAAACAATTGTAAATATTTAGGCACCCAACTTAGAAGCCCCTAAATAAAACAAACATTTGCAGACATAAGAGAAATAGCAATCAATGACAGAAGAGTGCCCTCTCATCATGGAGAGTCATCTAGCAAGGAAACACTGGCCTTGATTGACATCAGATCAATGGACCCTTTTAAAAAATATTTTATTTGCCCTTGCATAGAAGAGATGGGGTGTAAGCTAGAAGTGCAGGAGGGGCAGAAGTGGCAGGGGGAGAGGGGAGATTCACGACACAGAGTGGGGAGCAGAACACGCAGATCTACCGAAATCCACTGCTGAAGGGAGCAGCAGGTGAGACAGGAGAGGTCTGCTGCGCCATGTGGTCAGTTCCCTGGCTGTGATTGAACTCAGGCCATAGAGGTGATAGTTGACCTGAGACTCAATTCCAGGGCCACCAGGGAGACCCAGATCAGATGTTTTAACATACAACATTCCATCCAAAAGCAACAGAGTATACATTCTTCCCAAGCCTGCATGGAGCAGGATGGTTGTATGTTAAGTTACAAAGCAGATCTTAATTTTGTAACATGAAAATATCATGCATCTTTTCCAGTTGCAATAGTATATAAGTGGAAATGACTTCACCAGTGAAATTCAACCAATATTTAAAGAATAACTGATGTCAATGCTTCTCAAACTCTTCCCAAACACTGTGGGGAGGGGGGGGAGGTGGCGCTCCATGCATGCTTGTTTCTAAACTCATTTTGCAAGGCAGCATTATCTTAATATCAAAAACAAACAAAAAAAATAGACCAAAGGCCCTCCCTGGTTGCACAAGCGTAGCACTATGAAGCTCTCCAAAGCCACTGCAGCACGAGTTTGATACCCCGCCAGGGAGCTAACCCCCATGGCACAACAGACCCCTCCTGTCTTGCGTGTGCCTCCCTCAGCAGTGTATTTCAGTCTATCTGCCTGTTCTGTTCCCCACTCGGTCTATGGTGAGTTCGCTCACCCCCTGCATTTCTGGCTTGTACCCCAATTCTAGTACGTATAAATAAGTCTTTAAAAAAATTACAGCCCACTATCTCCAGTGAGCATAGATTTTAAAATGTTCAAAACAATACTAACACACTAACGTCAGTATGGTAAAAGGATCACACACCATGATCAAGTGGGATTTAGCCCAGGGATGCCAACATGCAGAAACCAAAGTTACATTCCCCATGGACAAGATGGGGAATAAAAATCATTATCTCAGTAGTGGGGGGAGGGTGAAGAAGCATCAAAATTCAACATTCATTTATGGTTAAAATATATATATATATATTACTAAACAAAGTGGGGATAGACATAATATACCTCAACTCATGAAGGCCCACAGCTATCATCATACTCAATGGTGAAAAGCTGAAAGCTTTTTCTCTCAGATCAGAAACAAGAAAAGGCTACTCATCTTCACATTTGTTCAACACTGTATTGGAAGTTCTAGCCAGAGCAATCAGATAAGAAAAGGAAACAAAAGCCATACCAACTGGAAAGGAAGTTGGAAATTGTCTTGTCTTGTAGATAAGCAACATCATACAGAAAACCTAAAGGTTCCACCAAAAGACTACGCGAATAAATGAATTCAATGAAGTTGCATGGCACAAATCATTAGGCCAAAATCTATTTTACTTCTATGTACTAATAGTGAATTATAAAAAAAATAATAATAATCCCACCTGCATAATGAAATCTAAGACACAGATGAAGAAAATTCAAGACAAAGGAATTTCATACATACAGAAAGAATCTTATCAAAATGTCCACATGACCCTAACACTCTACAGATTCAATGCAACCACTATCAAAATTCCAATGGCATTTTTCATGGAACTAGAACAATCCTGAAGTTTGCATGGAATCACCAAAGACACTGTATAGCCAACGCAATCCTGATGTATCAAGAAATAAGTATTTGTGAGGCCAAGGAGCTAAGGAACCCCATCTGCCTTCCTGCCTCTTGACAAGGCTCTCACCACAGGTCCAGGGTCAAGGTTGGAGCCCACTCTTACCTGATCCACCTCCTGTTACCTCCTTTGCACCCTCCAACAATACCCAACAAAACCCAAACCCTGTACGCAGCTCCTGCATACCACAGACGATTGGAAACAGGAAGCACTGAATTAGCCTCATTCCCCACCCAGATCCATCAAACAACTCCCCACCCAAATTCATCAACCTGGTAGAGAATAACTCAAAATGCATCGAGTGAACGGAACCCAAGGCCGAAGGGCCCCAGCGCCTCTTCCCCACCTCCCCCTGAGATCATCTCGCAGTCATACCTGGGCTATAAATGGTGCCACCATCGCCCCGATGCGACACAGAGAGCCGCTGGTCCCCATCCCCAAAGCTCGCATGGGTGTGGGGTAGACCTGAGGGAAGCAGAGAAAGCACAGTTAGCGCAGGCTTCTCCCTGTCCACCTTCAGTAGAGCCATCCAGAACCTATGTTCTCTATAGACAGACAGGGTCTGGGTCTGGCGTAGGAAGTGTTCATTTTCTCAAGTTCAGAACTTGAATTAACAAAACCAGGGAGGAAATCCCTTAGAAATTATCCTTTGAATTTGAATTTTAAATATGTTTAATGATTCCTGATAGTTTTAAAATAGTAAGCCTGAGGCAGAAGATTTTTCATTTTAGAGTTTGAAACATGACAATGTTTGAGAGAGAAGATCATACTCCCCAAATGAGCCAACGTGACCTTTGACCCAGACACAGTAAGAAATTTGGCCCCAGTGCCAGGCACAGTCATGATGTCACGGCAGAACCTCCCGATAATGCCGACTTTCTTGCTGCAGTTTATATTTAGAGTAAAATTTCAGCTGTATTTCACGGACTCAAATCTAACAGGAATTGGCAGAAGTTACATAAGTAAGCCAGTATTACTTAAAGATTATTGGGAGGATATTTGAGAGGAAAGAATTGCTTTCAAAACTTGGAACTTTTCAGTGCTGTATAGTACCATGAAAGTTTCTCTCAGGTCGCTAAAGCACGTAGTCCCTCAGGCGCACCGTGGCAGATGCAAAACCAAGATGTGTTCCTGCCATGGGGACGTGCTGCATTTAGAAGGGAAAGACTGGGGTGGGGGAGACCCTTTCCCCAGGAGCTTTGCTCTTTCTGGAAATGAGACTGTTGACTACAACTGAAGACCGAGTTCACATACATGGTCTTTTCCTTGTATAGTATCAATAAAGGCTTGTTCCTATTTTGACAATTCTGGGAGGTGGGATAGATGATCAGCTCCAGCTACACATCTTAATACTTTTAAAACCGTATTTAAAAAGTTAAAATTGACCCTTCTTGAATATTCCCAGTGGAATTCTACAAGCATATACCACATCACATTTTAGGTTAATAACTCACAAATAATTTTAGATTTATTAGTGGAGCTAGATGAAGTGTTGTATATTTCAAAGATGCCACAATTTCCTATTTTTCTTGGGGTGGGGGAAAGAAAGTAATTTTTCCTCTGGCTTTTGTGAATTTGACACCATCAGATCTGAACAGACTTCTGCCTTTCCTGACTTGAATAGGAACTTTTGCCAATCCCTAAAGCGCCATTTTCTGTATCTCTGAATGGCCAAACAGGTTGATGCACTATTTGAGGAATACCCGAAAGTCCTCTGGTTCACCCTGGGAAAAGTGTGTGAATTCAACAGATTTATTAAGTCTAAATCATTCAACTGTAAATAAGCTTAGGTAGCAACTAGTGGAAGGAACTGATCTTTCAAAGGGTAGGGGAGCATTCCAGTTTCAAAACCAGCAGTGGAGTTTTTCACTGCAACACAAGCTGTTTCTGGCCCCTTCTTTCTGGAAGCACAGGCAAAGACGAAGATTTGTCCTTTACACGTTTAGTGAAGAAGCCCGGAGACTCCAGCTCTCCTCTTGACTGGCTTCACAGGGCTCAGTGGGGTGTGTGTGTGGGGGGGGGAGAACCACCAACTCTCTGGAGTCCTTTTAATAGGATATTCAAAAAGTCCATAGGACCTAGGATGTAGTCTATGAACCGTGTGACACCTTAATCTGCACCCCCTGCACCCCCAGAGAAAACCAACACTTTCCCCAAAACCCACCTCAGCAGTGTAAATGTAGATGGTGTTGAAGTTGGCTGCTACCAAAGCCCTCAGCATGAAGAGGAAGCCAATGAGCCCGGCGCTGGGGAGCAGAAGAGAGGAAGTTACCAGGGCAATGTGGAGGCCCTACCCCGCCCCCACCCAGGGACACCCCTCCCCCCACCACTAGGGGAGGCCCCAGGGCTGCTGCTTTTCATCTGGCCTGATTGTGGGTCCTAAAGAAAACACCTGATTCCAGCCTTCATCCTATGCCCCATGCTCCTCATTCCCAAGTGTGCCCTCCACCCCCATTAGCACACCTGCCCCACACCCCAAAATGGCACGTTTGTAAGATGACCTAAAATCGTGGCCACTCCAGAAGGTAGGATGGCGCTGAAGGTGAAATGTATTTCCCAGCACAGGCGGGTTACCAGAACTGCCCTGGCACTGAGTAGCAGAGGCCACCACTGATGGGTGATGTGAGTGCAGACTGGGGTGGCACCCCCACCCCGCTCCAGGATGCCTCGAGGGGAGGCCCAGCAAGAGGCAGTGGGCAGAGTGGCACCAGGCAAGATCTTCTAGACAAGCGGCCTAATCTCCACTGTACCATGATTGCCCACTGCCCCCCTAAACTGGAGACAGGACCAGGAAACCTCACTTGAAAACAGCCACACACCAGTAGATTTCAAAACAGAAAATACCTTGAAGTGCAGATATTGAGGAGCAGGAAGAATAAAGCGGTGCACCCCATGGTAATAGAGAGGCTCAGCCGTCTCCCCAGGAAGTTAATGCCCAGGATGTTTAAGGGGTTCACTGGAAAGCAAGTGACAAAGGCAGTTTCAGGGGGACAGGAAGCAGGTGGCACCCAGCACCCCTGACAGACCTCGTGGTGACCTAAACCTCACCAGCGTCACAGCTGCTGTCCTCACCCACCTGAACGAGGACCCCAGGGTCAGATACTGAAGGACAGGTCATATCGGGGAGCTGGTCACCCCCCTAGGTCTAGTGTCCAAGGCCCACTCGCGACACCTCCACTTCAAATGTCTTCTACAAATTCAAGGTGCCACTGATTTTAAGTGCTGTAACCCCTGCCCTCCCCACCGAATCTTGGGGAATAGACCCCAAGACGCCCCGGGGTGCTGGGAGCCAGGCCGCCAAAGCCCATGTAGGTTTTCCTAGATGCCCAAACTATGATAACTGAATTTGCAAGTTAGGCGCTGCAAGAGGTTAAGGGGTGCCGGAACAGTGAAAACAAGCTCATCAGCCCCCC